TGTGGGGGGGGGGCACTGTAACTGAGGCACACAGGAAAAGAATGTGCCTCGGTGGTTGTGGCATTGCCAAAATCTGTTATTTAGCATTCGTCGGTTATGAGTGGTCCAGAATTACTTTTTTCGACTCCAAAACGTGCTTTTGCCACTAGGAAGTCTCTAAAAATCTCTCAAAAACTCTAAAAACAATCAAATCAAATTAACCGAACGGCGTATTTTTTGTAGATCACGGTCGGAGGAGAAACACTTGCCCGACTCTTATCAACACATCATCACCGAAAATCGATCGTTTTAGTGGACAACTTCGACGCACCCATCCGCGAAGCGCTTCTGGCACCACATCTCAATGATAGAAGTTTCAAGGGGATCATGTGGGGTGTTTCCCGATTTGTCAAGTTGCTCATAAAAAGTAGGTTCGTCCACCGGACCGTGGTGACGGGTACTGTCAGAGTCGACGTTTTCGGACTGACGCATTTCCCCATCTTTGACGATGATTATTTGCATCGGTAAGCTCCTTTTTATGTTGATAAAATTTTCAGAGCGCTTAGGCCGTATCAATGGACGATTTTGAGTTATACCAAAATCTAGACTGAAAAACCTCAAAGATGTTCAGTAGAGCAGATTTTATTAATTTACTTATCTGTTGAATTTAATTTTTTTTGAAAGTTACAAATCTCACCGACCAAATTTTTTCATTTTGAAAACTACAAACATATTAATTTTATTATTTATTAACTATTAATACACTATGATATTCCGCAGAAAATTGACCTAATACAGTGGACTCTCGATAATTCGAAAACCTCGTTTATTCGAAGGAAAGTCCGTTTCCCTTGAAAATCTCTCGATAATTCGAGGAAATCAATGTATTTTTCTCCCCTTGTTATTTCGAAATTTTTAAGCTAGCGCGGCCCTCTATAATTCGAAATTGCGACGAAAATTCTCTCTGTAATTCGAAGTGTGGGAAGTAAATATGGTCCTCCCTCTATAATTCGAAATAAGACGGTACATTCCCTCTACAATTCGAGGTCAACTGTTTATGTACCTGGGTGTCTGAAAGAGCTGATAGGATTGTCAAAATGTAAACATGTAATTAATAATTTTAAAATTAAATATGAATAATTAATACTTAATAATAACTTAGTGTAATTTTTACCTCAGTGAAGAAATAAACTGATATTTTTGGTTCCTTTTGACGTAAATCCGTCCATTTGCCTCTCTACATTCGAACCTCTCTAATTCGAAATTTCCCCACATGAATCGCTTTAATTGGAACTCTCTTTATTTCGAAACCTCGCTAATTCGAAGAAAAAGCCGATTCCCTTCAATTTTGAATTATTGAGAGTCAACTGTAATAAGGCAATACAGAAAAATATGGGTAATAAGTCTGAAAACATTTCAAAAACTTGGGGCGTTCCGAGGTCTTCGCAATCCGATTTATTCAACCGCAGAAAAAGCTGTTAAATCCCTACGTAGGAAAGTAAAATGAGAGCAAAAAATAGATACCTCGATATCAGTATTTTCAGAGGATGGGTTTATCTTTGAATACAGCAGGTTAATTTCGTTCCTGTACTTTGAATTTTTCTTGAAGTTTGTCTTCCATTAAGAATGGGACATTCAAGACCATAAACCGTCCTGCCTAAACGACAATTTGCTAATGTTAAACATGGTTTCGCGCAGGGGCGGACTGGAGCTAAAAAATTATCCGGAAATATTCGCTCTCAGTGGTTCGGTCGACCTATTCAAGTTGTTTTATGGCTGTGTGAGACGATAACCCGGCCCATAAAATTATCCCTATTATCGATGGCCCGCCGGGATTTTTGCCGGTTTTCACGTTTGCCTAGTTCGCTGCTAGTTTTGTGAAAGCAATAATGTCTGTGGTCAGTTATAATTGTTCTTTCTTCCTATTCAAGTGAAAAATTAGCGTAAAATGATATGATGTTATTTCATGGCGTTATATTTCCATTTCATTGCATTAAACTCTACTGTAATTTTTTCATCTTTTCCAGGTATTACGGCCTGACAGAAGGTGATGTTTCTGAGCTAGCTAAACGCTTTGAGAAACAAAAAAATATCGCTGACGTTAGAAAATGGTACGGTGGCTACAGAACAGCAGGCGAGGGTCAAACTATCTACAACACACGCTCAACGCTCACTTTTTTTAAAACGGGCGAGCTAAAACCGTACCGGTATCAGTGCATGAATTTCAAAACATTAAAAAACCTTTTGGAGTTTGAGAAAGTAGGCCAATTTATGGAAGACGCGTTTGACAATAAAACCCGGCTGCATGTCCGGCAGAAGATTCCACAGAAGCTCCTGGAGCAAGTGCGACAAACTGTATTCGGCACAAATCAAACTTACATCCATAAAAACGTAATTCTGCAGATTCTCCTTGATCATGGCTTTTATACCGTCCAAGACAGAGATACCCTACACATACCGAACTTCGAGGCAATGCTGGATATCAAAAACTTGATTTTCGACCGAGAATACTACATCAATAAACTAAAAATCAACGACCACATTATTGATAACTTCGTGCAGAGCATTGAGCGACTGACAGGAGAGGAAGCGTCTTTCAACAACTTCTCCGCAGCTGTTACAGAACTATTCAAACATCGCATTCCGCGAGGTGCAAGGGAAACAGCTCACACCTTGCTCACTTTGGTAGCAGACGCTCACAAGTTCAGCTTGTTGCGTGGTCAGGAGACTCTGGAAAGCGACCGGCAAGATGTGCTCGTTAAGCGGTCTAAAGAAATAGGCATTGTGATTGGGATCATCGTGGGGTCGATTAACAAAATAGCGCTGAAACCTGTATTTCTCAGGAGCTTACAAGTGTTTCCAGACTGCAAATTGAGGGTTGCCATCTTGTTAGGTTTGAAACCGCACGGACTAATCGGAGATCTTGAGGTTCTTTACGCACTTGACAATCGCACTGAAACCAGAATCACACTCTGAATATGGACGGTTGGACACGTAGCTGAATGTGGGAGTCATTGGTCCGGTATTGAGTAGTCACACACGAGGATAGGGACTCTCAGCAGATATTAGTTTGTCTGAACTATTCGAATAAGTATAAAACATATTTAGGATGAAAAAGACCTAAAATTATGAAAATTCAACTGTTGAGCGCCGACCCCCAGCTCCCATATTCAGCTGCCAAATTCAACGAGCGATTCCGGCATGATATAGATAGCGGTAAGAACCAACCAGTGTTCGAAACTCACAGGCGCCAACGCACCAAATGCGCCTAAAAAATGAAGGCTCTGCGCCAACGTGGCCCCTACAAATTGCCCCCTAAAATTTGAATTTTCATATTGGGCGTTCATTCGAAATTTTCAGCACAACAAGGGAAAGCTTTTTCTACGAGTATTCTTCACGATTTCATCCTTAGTGCTTTTGTTTTCCCCAAGTTACAGCTACTTACTAGTTTTGTTACGAAACCGTCTTGCGTCTAACTTTTCACTGAATGCGTCGTTAAGTCAAAAAGTCAATTTGGCCCCTAAAAAATCTTCAATGGCGCCTAAAAATCGGGCTTGATGCGCCACGTGGCTCCTAAAACTCATAGGTGAGTTTCGAACACTGGAACCAACGCACACTGAGAAAAAACTATGGCTTATAAACCTATTAGAGGTAAATATGGAACACCACTAATAGTAGTGCCTCTACATATAATAATAGCACATATACCTTAGTTATGGTCTCTGTACCTTAATTAGGTACAGAGACCTTAGTATGGTTCACAGACCGAGAATCATTAGTTTATTTACGACTATTATAGGTGTTCCATATTTACCTCTAATAGGTTTATAAACCATAGTTTTTTCTCAGTGCAGGTCATCAATAATTGTGCCATAACGATATCACAGGCAACTGGTGGTCGCCAATGACGGCATGTTATTCCTCTATTCAAAGACCAGTGTTAGATGTTTGAGTATTGGAACACACGTGAGAATTGGCATTCCATGGCCACTTTTAGGTGGAGGCATCACCGTATCACCTCTCAAACGATAGCGTTGATGGCGTAAACCAAGTTTCTCAAATATCAAGAACCGGAATTTAAGATTCGCATGATTACTGTTAGATGTTACAAAATTTTCGCTCTGATTTCATTTTTGAAAAAAGACAACTTTTCCAAGCAGATCAATCGCTTCAGTCTGAGAAAATTGGCTCTTTTTAACGTCAACAATTTGTGCTTCTATTGTATCCTGATGTAATAAGTTATTTATATAAATTGCTATATTAAATAAACAGCCCTATTAGGCACTGATAAATTATACATGAAAATTAAATGCTTATAAATGAAAGGAAAGTTTGTACAGAGAACACGATTTGCGCATCATAATTAAAATCAAAGAGCGTTACTGATGGCAATTGGTAATTCTTTGGTAACGGAGACAGCAATGACAATTATTGAGTCTGATACGCGCCTTTTGCCTATTTCTTCAGTATGCGTGCGGTTACGACTTTTAAGTCTATAAAGTTGCTTCGCTCAGAAATGAAGGCATAAGCGAGGAAATGAGCAATTAGAATAGAATCAGTTTTAAAATCTTGAAAGTTTTAAATAAACGCGCGGTCATAAGTCTGACTTTCCTCTCGCTTTCCTTAACGCATACAGTAAACGTACTTTAAACCCAAACTTCACTGTGTTAAAATGTTTGTCACTCAAATACATTTTATTCACTCAGAGTCTCTCATTGTACATACGTCATGTCGCAAGTTTCTAGAATATAGATGATTTCTTTCTATTCTGCAGAAGTTTGAGTGACCTTATCATTGAATTCCTACTAATTAAAGTTTTTTGAGGTTATTGTTGTTGATCAATTTTCCGACCAATTTTTCATTAATTTTTATCATCAACTTGATCACCTGTTGGAATTAATCTATACCAAGTAACCTCAATATCGGAGGCGCATTGCAAATCGTGGTTAGGCAACTTCTCTTGTGTGAAGGTATAGTGCCACCGCACAGGCATAGAGTGCCTTTTTTAAGAAGAATTCATGTACCATTATAGGAAACTTCTCGCACACCTAATAGAAGAAGGTGATTTTTTGGCGATAGAGGTGTCAATCACACTTTGACCTGCTATGCGCCTTCCACTGAGTGATTATGAGTGCAGATACAACTGTCGAGTATGTAAATTTGTTTCACTCAGAAATGAAGGCGCGTGCGAGGACATGAGCGCTTACATAGGAATACTGCCGTAGCCGGAACGTAAGACAGACTTAGAGATCCATCTGCAAAAACGGATATCTTGTTTACGGCGTTTCAAAATCTCTGCTCGTTTTATGTCATTAAAGAGGGACGGAAATACTCTATCGCTTGACATTTTTACAGATCATTCTTCACATAAAAATAGAAAATTATAGAAGGGGTGCATTTTCAAAAAAAACAAACAAAACAAAACAAAACAAAAAAAGAAAAAAAAGTCAGTAATTTGCCATTTACGAAATAAATCATTGCTTGAAGCTTGTAGGTAGCGTCGTAAACTGAGATATGCGTTTTTACAGTTTCACTGTCGGTATACGTCCAGCTCTATTTTCACGTCACGTGGTTATCAGCTCAATTCATACAAATAGATCAAGGTTCTGATAAGCAGAGCAGCTGATCTGTGTCAATTGTGAAGGCTTTAATTCTCTACAAGTGCCCGATCGATTTCAAAAACCAACATAAAAACCTAGCAGTCTGCGAGAAATCCGTCAACAAAAAGCCAGGAGTATAATTTTACACATAATGCCCGTAATCGTGAGTTTGTAATGACTTAACGCGTTGAATCTCCGCAACTTATACTAATAATATGTGTTACTTCTGTTACTTTTGGTTAGTGAAAAACAAACAATCGAAAATTTTATGTTGATTTTGGTACGGTTTGTGTTGAATTTAGCGCAGTAAACAATGGAGACACTCGAAAAATGCATTCCTCCAATTGCGACGTTGGTATTCACTCGTATTTTATTTTATTTCTTCATGAAAACCAGCTGATCTTTGCTCTTGAAATTGTGAACCGAAGGCTAAGGTTATTTTGTGTTTTACTTCCCGTATTAACCGAACTTTTGGGTTGAAATTTCTACCCGAGAGGTACAAAAGCAGGACTGCTCTTCGGGAGATTGCCGCCCTTAAAGAGCCAAAAGGATGATTTTGCAATTGCTGCTTCTTGTTATACTTCTTTCAGTAAGTCCAGCTTTCTTATGATGGTTCGATTCAGAGGTTTTTGGAAAAAAATATGTTGCTAAAAATCTTGACTTTGTGTGTCATTAAAATCTTGTATGTATAACCCCATAACCTGAAGTACATCTTTAAAAAGAAAACATTTTAATGCTCTACTTGTTTGCATTTGAGGATTACACGAATTTTGATATTATTTCCAAAATTTATTTGACAATAAAATCAGAATCTGTGAAAATCTGAACTTTAAGAAGTAAAAAATGATGAATATCAGCAGAAAAACAAAACTCCAATTTCTAACACATCTCTTAATACAGATAAAAATAGCAATCAAAAACTTGCTTTCAGAGATGAGCAAAGTTTCACCCAAGAAATTTAGAAACTAATAAAGGTCAAAGAATTTAGATTTCAGGTTGTGCCAAAATATAGCATAAATCATCATTTGCATAAAAAATAAGGTGTGTTTTAATAAAACCTGCAGGCAGAACTTATCCACTTAATTTTACTTTTGGCACAGGAAGCTTCAAATGCCGATGGAGAGCCCCCTGGATCTGCTATCTTTAAAGACTTCGCTCAGACACGCGCTTTCATAGACAAATCCCTACTAATCAAGTACATCCTAGATGGCCGTAGGCACATTTACATCGAGGCCCCTCCTGGTTTCGGCAAAACCACTAACCTTCAATTGGTTCAGGATTTCTTCACCATGGAGATCGACTCCTATGGATACGCCATCAATGCGGGAAAGCTCTTGAAAAAACCGACAAAATCTTTCAGGAAGTTCTGAAGAAGTATAGAGAGCGTCACGGAAACACCTCCACAGAACGCACAGCTTCCGAAAGCGACACCGAAGGCGCATCTGCCCACGAGAACGTTACGAAACCTATCAATTCTATCGGAGATCACCTGAAGAACTACGTGACCTTTTCGAAACCGCGCTTGAAAATACTGGAGGATTGGCCGGAGCTTTTCGAGTCCCAGTTTGCTCGGTATCCTGTTCTCATGGTAGACTTCGGAGTTCTTTCTACAGATTCTTTTCAGGATTACGAAAGCTCTTTTACAAAAATGGTTTCGCGGCTCTTCGAACAATGGACCACTAGACAAGGTACGAATCTTAGCATTCTGATACATGTTTCTTAACCAAAATTTTACGTAGAGCACGATACACACAAAGAAAATTACCGAAATCAACTCCTTACGAAGATATTTAATGATTCTTGATGCGTGAATTCAAACCACCCGCTCATGAAAACTCAATGCTCTACGTGATTCACATCGCATGCGAAACGTTATCATGACAGTCTCTGCGATATAAAAATCTGGCAACCTCGATCTTGACGCTTTGGCTCAGCTGTAGCAAATTGCTTATAGTTTGAAAAACACATGATGGGAAATGAACATTGCTCGATTGAGAAGCTTGCTGAAACCATTGTGGTGCGCGATTTGACTCACGTAGAGCTTTGAGTTTCTTGTGAGCGGGCAGTTCAAATTCCTCGTATCCAATGTGAAATAAAAACGTTGATTTCTTCCTTAGGAGTTGATTTCGGTAATTTTCGTTGCGCAAATCGTGTTCCGCGTGAAATTCTGGTTCGGAAACATGTATTAGAATGCTTAAATTCGTACCTTGTCTAGTGGTCCATTCAAATACTTGTTATTGAGCAAGAGGTTGACCAAACTCACCAAGGATGAATTTTTACTCTTCCGCGATGAGTCTAAAGAACTGAGTATAGATGAGGTATATGATAATTTTCCCTTATAATTAGTCCATTAATAGCACGACATACGCTTGAATCAAGCCTATTTGGAGAGAGCCAACAAGATGGTTGCATTACACCTACCAGAGTCAGAGTTTTTAAGAAGATAGAAGAAGGAACCTTATTTACATGCAGCAATGCAATTTTAAGGGTAAAAATGTACCATTAGGTGGGAGGGGTCAAAAGATAAATAATTCATGAAAACTGAAGTTCAGCTTATGGTCTTGTTTTTATTCATTACGAAATTAGGAGATGACGTTCTTCCTTAAAGATACGATAAAATGGCGCAAAAAATCCTCAGGACTGATATATTCGAAGACACCAATACCAGAAAAAGGTTTTCAATTAAGTTTGAAGAATTTTTCAAATGAAATGAGCTCACAGAAGAATTTCAAAAGTCCCCTTTGATGTAACCATTATTAGTATGGGTTCTTTCAATGAGCTTGGCGCAGCCATAATGCATCAAACGAGCCAAAAGGCAAAATGTGACAAATTCGTTGTACTTCTACACGACACTTGTTTTGCAGGTTGTGCTTGGAGGAGAAAAGTTGGTCCGTCTATTGTCAAATCATCATCAGCGAAAATCGATAGTTTTAGTCGATAATTTTGACATACCGATTCGCAAGGCACTTTTCGCCCAAAAACTTTATGATGAAAGTTTTACGAGGATCGTGAAGGATGTGTGTCGATTTGTCGAGTTGCTCATAAAAAGCGAGAATGTGTTCCGGACCGTAGTGACGGGCAGTCTCAGAATTAACATCACAGATGGATTGATGCATCTTCCCGTCTTCCAGGATGAATTTTTGCATCAGTGAGTTTACAGTTCTTTCAAAACTATCACTTTATGCCTGAAGTAATACCTAAGTTTTTATTCGTCAGAATTCTTCAGAGAAAATACAACATCGACGGTGAAACTACCAGACCACGTATCGCGGTTGTATTTAAAAATCTCCACTTATATCATTTTACTTATATTATACAATTCTTCTTTTATTTTTTTACGGAGACAGCTCGATATCATTCCTTGAAGTTTTCACAGAATTTTCTTCGCACAGAGTGGAAAAGTCGCGGAAGTTTTCAAGAGCAGACGTTGAGCAGTTTCCCTTTAAAAAATAAAGTATTATAAGAAGAAGTCTCCGACGACTTGTGGAACCGAGATAGGTGTTCTGGTAGCTTCACCGTATATATTGTTTTTTTGGGTCCACGTTAAAACGATGTTAACAAAAAATGGAATGCACAATATTGCATTCAAAACTGAATTAATACGTCCACCTTCGGATTTTGAGTTTTCATAGTCATATAATATGCGAATAAAACCTCATTATCTGGACTTGTGAGTAGTCATCAGGTGACACTTGCCATTTTTCTGGATCCTGAGAGCTACATTAAGGGCCTAAGATGGCTCAGCCAATTGCAAGTGGAACCTTATTCAATGGCCATACTCTGTCTATAAAGGTGCTCTATTCTTACCGTGCTTATTCTTTCACGAATACTTACATTTTCCTATGTTTGGTTATATAATCCCAGAACATTCCGACTCTTATTATTTTTTCCCCCTAGATATTACGGCCTGACAGAAGAGGATGTTTCTGAGCTTGCTTGGCGCTACTACAAAGAAAAACATATTCCCGATATCAGACTTTGGTACAGTGGTTACAGAGCAGGGCGGAAGGGTCATAATATTTACAACACACGCTCAACGTTGCGCTGCCTTACGTCGGGTCTGCTCAGACCGTATCAAAATGAGTCTATAAATTTTAAACCCATAAAACACCTGTTGAATTTTGAGAGGTTGGGCCGTGACATAGAGGACGCCTTTGATAATAAGACACGACTCCTTGTACGGCAAAAGATCCCACTGAGGCTGCTCGAGCAACTCCGACGATCAATATTTGAACCCGATCGAACTCCATTTGTTGTTCATCGGGACTTAATCCTGCAGATGCTTCTGGACCATGGCTTCTACACCGTTTTTGACGGAAACAGACTCAATATACCCAACTTCGAGACCAAGTTGGACATCAATAATCTGATCTTCGACCGAGCATACTACCTCACCAAACTAAATGTAACTAACCAAACCATTGATAACTTTGTTCAGGGCATTGAGCGACTCACTGGGGAGGAGGCGTCTATACGCAACTTCTCCTTAGCGGTCACAGAACTCTTCAAGTACAGCCTGCCGCGAGGAGCTCGGGAACTAGCACACACCTTGCTCACTCTAGCGGCAGACTCTGGAAAATTCGACCTGGTGCGCGGTCTGGAGGCCCCCGACCGGAAACGACAGGATGTCCTCGTGAAGCGATCCACGGAGGCCGGGATCGTGATCGGTATCACAACGGATCCGATTGACGACGATTTGCTGAGACCTGTTTTTATCCGAAGTTTCCAGTTGTTCCATCAAGACTGCAAGGCGAAGATTGCCATATTGTTGGGTTTGAAACCACGCGGACAGGTCGGGGATCTCGACGTACTGTATGCGTTCGAGAATCGTACCGTTGAGGACATGACTGAGAACCAACGTAAGGCACATGTTACCGAGGGTGCACCAACGAGACTACCAGAAAGTGTATAATCGACGAAGGCACCATATCATCCTTGCATTCAACGACCACCGCTGGGTAGAGATGAACCACCCAACTTACGCGTACACATACGTAATTTGAGTTGTTATAGGCACCAAAGACAGTTACTTGGCCGCATTTTCTCTTCATCGTATTGTTATGGTATCTCTCACTTGTGTGGAATATTAAAAAATTAGTTTGCGATGTCGGATTGTTTTTATATTGAAACTGGTCTTTAACGATACCAAGATACTAAGATCTTCCATGACATACGCAGTAATGAAAACATAATTTTCAACTTTGGTTGCAGAAATGTTGATTATTGTTGCCATTACTTGGAAAAAATATTCCGAAAAATGTATTTTTTGTCGACCTGCAATTTCTCGTCGTCGTCTCCGTGAAGTTTGTCCTATATTCACGATTTTACCGACCTCAACTGAAATGGACCATGAGTCAATTTTTTCAGCTCTGGAAAACGGAATGGCGGAAAATCATTTACCCGCCTATGGTCGAGGCGGGTCCACTGGGCATTTTGAGAGCCGAACAAATCTGTCGGCTTCTACACAAGCTTGTACACTGAGAAAAAACTATGGCTTATAAACCTATTAGAGGTAAATATGGAACACCACTAATAGTAGTACCTCTACATATAATAATAGCACATATACCTTAGTTATGGTCTCTGTACCTTAATTAGGTACAGAGACCTTAGTATGGTTCACAGACCGAGAATCATTAGTTTATTTACGACTATTATAGGTGTTCCATATTTACCACTAATAGGTTTATAAACCATAGCTTTTTCTCAGTGTACAACATTTACTCCTTGTGTTTTTAGGAGAAGCTCCTGAGCCAATTCGAGATTTGCCTCTTCTATGATGATTTTCTCGTGATGCTTGTTTATAATCGTACCGGCTGTTTTGTACAATTCACCCAAATGGATCAAATGTATGTATGGTACGATGCTGTCCAAAAACTTTAGAGTGGACTTTATGTATCCATTCCGGACCCATACAATCCACCGAGTCTTCGTAACGAGTCGAGATTCGTTTGTATCCTCTGTGGAAAATTGCCTCTCCCTCTGCCCGAGAAGATGCGGCATTCTAGTCTCAAATCCGCACTGCTCAAGGATTGGAATTCCATCACGGTAGCCACGATCTACGATGCATTAATATCTCACAATACCACCGTCTGCAAACCATTCTAACATCTTTTAGTTCTGATTCGTGGTTAGATATTGCTACATCATAATTTCAGCTATCAGCAAACAGAGGCTCTAGAATAGATAGAGTGTAACCGTCTGTGCCGACTATGAGAGTCGGCTTGATCAGATGCCTTTTCTTATGATGAGAAAACGTTTGACGTGAAACTAGAAAGTTTGAGCTTTTATCGATATAAGTAGAAGTTCCATCGACATTAACAATCGCTCTCAGGGTTTCGGAGGTTGGATTATAAAGCTTATCGTGGAAATCCGTTACATGCTCCTGAATATTAGTTTCGCAATTAATAGATCTAAATCCTATATTTTGCGGGACAAACTTAGACATCAGCGAATTTTGAACAAAATTGATGGCAAAGGCGGTGGTTTTTTTAAGTTTTAATGCGCGCAATTGGGCATCGTATCCTACGCGTCATTTACCTTTGGAAAAGTGCATTCGCGTGTTCGGTCAAAATTCATTCATGATTTAGTGATCCGATAGGAGAAGAAATAAGTGACTCTACAAGTCTGTTTCACATATTTTGACACACTCAACTCGAACTGAGGAGACATTGATCAATGCGGTAAAATATGCAAGAGAGATTTACATACCTTAGGTCGGGGTTGCAGCTCACAGCACAGGATTCTGGAAAAAGAAAAAAAGAAACTCGTGATTAAATGGAATAATACAATCTAGAGGAAGGCTAGAGGAGAGATATGTACTTCTGTGGGCAAATAGTCAGTAATTCTATCTTACATTGATATTCTAAGGGTGTTCCTGATTCTTGAATATTTATTAATCCTGATGGTTAGATAAGTAAAACCTTTTGATCACCATTCGAGATTTGCTACAGCGTTTTTAGCACATGGATCGGCCTTAGAGCTGATCCCTGATTTTTGTGTGATACCGCATCATATACCTACTCTGGTAACCGAATAAGAACGCGCTCGATTTTTTCATTTGACGATGTGAGCATAATGCCTACATTACAAAACGTCAGATGTTGTGGCAGGTTAATAGCTAAGAGGTCCTTCATTTCCGTGTTATACCACATCACATACCTCTTCCGGAGACCGAATAAGAAAGCGCTTGATTTCCACTTTCCACAACGTTAGGTAAGAAAACTCCATGATCCAATGCGAGTTTCCCCGGCCGAGAATTCGCAGTTCAGAATTTGTAGTAGTTTTTCTAAGGCTATTTTCGCGCCTAAGGAAATTTTTTATCGTTCTATCAGAGAAAGTTAAAATGAAGCAAATACAACTGGTCAGAAAACAACAAAAAATCCATGCTCTCGTCAACTCTCGTGTCAGTTTTTGTTGGCTGAGAATCTAGAGGTTGGAATTTTGAGGGTTTTTCCTGCGCATTAAGAAATTTAGATTTAATTTTAAATTATGTTAAAAGTTACCTGGCTAAAGTGTCTACGCATTGCTCGCATCAGTAGAGATTCCAAATATTTGGTTCTGATGGAAAGTAACAAGTATATGTAGTTTTGTTGGAAGTACACTAGCTTTCGAATTATTTAGGGGTGCAGAAAGTTTTTATTGTCTGTTTTCACCGGCAGATCGAGCACACTCTGCACGTCTGCACTGCCGCGCTAAGGAAAAACGCCGTTTGAACATTCGAATTTTGCCGAATTTCTTTTCGGAAAGCATTTATTTTAAAAGAAAGTTATTGATATAATAGATACTGGGGGGCTATGCCCCCTGGCCGCTTACCCCTGAAGGCGCTCCGCGCCATCAAGAGGCTGCTTCGCGGCCCTTTTTTATAGCCACAGCTTAAGTGAAATTAATATTTTTATGGTAAAATTTGTTTACAAATCCCGGCAAAAAACTTTCATGACGGAGGTAGTAAAAGCCTAATAGACTATCGATGCTGTATAATATTTTCGTTGTTTTTTTTTTTTTATTCATTGATATTTGTAATTTTTCAATTTTTTTTCGTTTCCAATATTTATCATTGCGTCTTCCTCTTTTAGCTTCTTATCAATGTTGATTTTATTTTTCCCCTGAAAAAATACGATATGAGATATATTTTACTTTTTAGAACGAAATTATTTTTGTTATTGATAATTTTTGATAACATAGAAGAAAACATTTGAAGTCAAAAGAATGCGTTTCGCAATGATTGGTTAATGAATCATTGCAGTAAAACAACGTAAGATGATTTAGAGGTCGTAAAAATTGTAAGCAGGTGTCAGGATTCGGACCTACGTTTCGGAACCATGTGGAAGTGCAGCTGACGCCTTTTTAGGGCAGATTTTTTGATTCGTTCTTTGATTTTAACAATGATGAACAAATCGTGTACAAATTGTCCTTTCATTTATATGCATTTAGTTTTCATTTATAATTTATCAGAGCCTAAATAGGGCTGTTTATTTTAGAGAACAATTTATAAATATTTTTATGATACAATAGGAGCACAAACTGTTGACGTTGAAAAGCGCTAAATTCTTAGACTGAAGCGATTCATCTGCTGAAAAAGTTGTCTTTTTTAAAAAAAATTAGAGCGGAGATTGTTTAATTTCATCTAAAAATAATCATGCTAACTTTAAGTTCCTGTCATCAATATTTGAAAAACGTAGTTTACGTCACGTCATCAACTCTATTGTTTAAATCACTTGGTAAACGTAATTTACATCGAAACTTTCATGTATTAATGTGTTCGCGACTCAAATATATTTGTATCCATTCAGAGTCTCTAATCTTTGTAGATACCTCATGTAACGTTTCCTAAATATATTAATTTATTTTCATTCTCGAGAAGTTCGCGTGACCTCTTTATTCACTTCCTCCAAATTGAAGATCAAATTAATTTGGTGGTCAGTGCGTCCGAATTGAGGTTGATGGGTGCTGAGATTGAATCCCGGTAGTAGCGACAAATTTTCGCGGAACTGGCGAATAGATCTGCAGTGACAGATTCTAATCGGCTTTAATCCCTGAAAATTTGAAAGCCTATAGCCTGGACGTACGAAGCCTGCGATGATGTCCACAGACACGATACAAAATCTCTAGATGGCCATAGGTTCCAAATCGGGACAAAACCGATGAATCAGCGACAAAGAAAAATGAGGTTACCGTTTTTGATCAATTTTCCGAGTAATTCTTCCTTAATTTTTACAATCAACTTGATCGCCTGTTGGATTACAATAACAAATAGCCTGACTCTGGGAAGCGCCTTCGAAATCGTAGCTAGGCAACTTCTCTTGTGTCAGGGTATTGCATCGCGAAGGCAATGAGTGTCTTTTTGAAGGCGATTTCATGAATCATTGGCAACTTCTCGCATGCCATGCCTCCAGGTAACCTTAAACTGTCAATCTAGGAATATGCGCATCCGAGAGGAGGGGAAGGGTGTAGGGGGCGCACACGTCCTCCTTCGCCCTAAAAAAATACGAAGAAAAAGGAGAGAACGGAGGAAAAAAGAAGGAAAGACCCATACGTTTGGTACTCATCCGCGACGAACTTGCAGATTTAAGCCCAAACTTCAGATTCTTTAAAAATTCATAAATTTTCTGGGGCAGGCCCTTGGATCCCCCTTCTCCGTTTGAAGTGCCTACGTCCGCCTATGAGTCTATGATATCTCTTTTCGCTGTTGACATTAAAACCGCTTATTGTATCTTATTATATTTGGCATAATTAGGACTGTTGCAATTTTAAGATTATACTCTACTCTGTGCGTATAGCTCCAAAATAAAAACCATCCTCTAGGATTCCTCGCTCTACCCTAGTTTCTCTCCTCGGAAAAATTGCATCCATCATTATTATTCGCGCAAGTAAGAGAAAGCTTTATGCTCACAAATTGAAACAGGTTCTTGATGTGGACGATTTTCTTCTTCCTCATGAAAAATAGCCATTAAATGGTGAGTTGCACGAAAAAAGTTTATCGCTGAATCTTAGAGTGCTTAATGATCCACTTTCGCAGTATTTTCTACAGAAAAATAGATTTAAAAAGGGGGTAATCAGCCGCCTTGTGACGTCATAACGCGGTTTTACGAATGTAAGACATTTACGTCAGAGGGTATAGATATAGGGTGTTCAAAAATTTTTGCGTACGAAATAAATTATTACAAGAGGTCTGTAGCGTCGTAAATTGAGATATGCGTTTTTGCAATTTCACTGTCTAGGTATTTGAACCCATGCTCTATTTTTACGTCAAGATGTTATCAGCTCAATTCATATGCAAGAATCTAGGTTGTGATAAGCAGAAGCAACTGTTCTGTGTCAATAGTGAGGGCTATAATTCTCAACAAATGTGGTTCTATTTCAATAAACAACATGAAAACCTAGTAGTATGCCAGAAAATCAGTCTAAAAAAATCCATAGGTATCATTTTACAAATTAAGCCCCTAAACGTGAGTTTGTGATGACTTGGCGCGTTGATTTACCAAACTTAGGTGTGAAAGCAGGACCGTTTTTGGGAGTTTGACGCCCTTCAAGAGCCGAAAGGATGATTTTGATATTGCAGCTTCTTGTTTTATTTATTTCAGTAAGTTCAGCTTTCTCATTACAGTTTCATCCAGAGGTTTTTGATTGAGAAAGATACTGCTAAAAATCTCGAGTTGGGTGTAATTTAGAAATCTCATATTACCTCATAAACTGAACTACATTTGGCATAACGACATTTTTTATTGTTCTACTTAAATACATATAATCCGTATTTTGAAAAGTTTATTGCACTTTTTTTGCATTTAATTATTTAACGAATTTTTACATTATTTCAAAACTTCATTTGACAGCAAAAAAAGAAGAAGAAAAATAATTTGTGTACTTCCGAACTTTTGAGACAGAAAAAAAAATATAAACGTCAGCAGAAAAAGAAATCTCCAATTTTTAAGACTCCTCCTAATAAAGACAGAAACACCTTTCACAGCTAAGCAAAGCTACACACACGAAAATTATGAGGATTTAAGAGGGAAAGTTCATATTTAAGGTTGTACCAAGGTATAGCATGAATAATCATCTGCATGAACTATCAGTAGATCTTACCCACTGAATTGCACTTTTTGTACAGGAAGTTTCAAATACCGATGGAGAATCTGACACACTTAAAAACCTCGCTCAGACACGCAGTTTCATAGACAAATCCCTACTAATCAAGTACATTCTAGACAACCATAGGCACATCTACATCGAGGCCCCTCCTGGTTTCGGCAAAACCACTAACCTTCAATTGGTTCAGGATTTCTTCACCATGGAGATCGACTCCTATGGATACGCCATCAAAGCGGCAAAGCTCTTGAAAACCGACAAAATCTTTCAGGACGTTCTGCAGAAGTATAGAGAGCGTCACGGAAACACCTCCAGAGAACGCACAGCTTCCGAAAACGACACAAAAGGTGAATCCGCCCCTATGAATATCACGAAACCTGTCAATGCTATCGCAGACCACCTGAAGAACTACGTGACCTTTTCGAAGCCGCGCTTGAAAATACTGGAGGAATGGCCGGAGCTTTTCGAGTCCCAGTTTGCTCGGTACCCTGTCCTCATGGTAGACTTCGGAATTCTATCGACAGATTCTTATCAGGACTACGAAAGCTCTTTTACGATTATGGTTTCGCGACTCTTTGAACAATTTAACTACCTATTATTGAGCAAGAGGCTAACCAAGCTTACCAAGGATGAATTTTTACTCTTCCGGGATGGTTATAAAGAACTTAGTATAGGTGAGGTACGTATGCTGATTTCCTAAGCACGGCTATAAACTAAACGGAGTCGACAGTTTAACTTGTTTCAAAAGTTAGATAATTCATATGTTTTACTCTTTTAATTAATCCGTTAATAGCACGACATACACTCTTAAACTAACACCTATTTTGAGAAAGACCAAAAGATCGACCAAAAGATCATTGCAGTATGCCTACACTGAGAAAAAACTATGGTTTATAAACCTATTAGAGGTAAATATGGAACACCTATAATAGTCGTAAATAAACTAATGATTCTCGGTCTGTGAACCATACTAAGGTCTCTGTACCTAATTAAGGTACACGTACCATAACTAAGGTATATGTGCTATTATTATATGTAGAGGTACTACTATTAGTGGTGTTCCATATTTACCTCTAATAGGTTTATAAGCCATAGTGTTTTCTCAGTGTACCATAGCCAGACTGTATAATGAGATAGTGGGGGGAACTTATTCAAGCAATCCGATTTCGAGGGTAAAAACATTTTATTACATGGAAGGGGTCAAAAGACAAGCATTATGAAAACTGCAGTTCAGCTTATGGTCTTGTTAAATTGATTGATTACGAAATTGAAAGTTCGCTCTCTTCCTTTAAGTTACGATAAAATAGCACAAAAAATCCTTCGCGCTAATTTTAAAAAAAAGAACATCTCCAAAAGGCACATTAATACTAGAAAAAGGTTATCATTTAAGTTTGAAGAATTTTTCAAATAAATTGAGCTTATAAAAGAATTTCAAAAGGCCGCGTTTGACACATCCATTAATGGTATAGGTTCTCTCGATGAGCTTGACGCAGTCATATCAGATCAAAGAAACCTAACAGCAACGTGTAACTTCATCGCATTTAACTACACGACACTTATTTTGCAGGTTGCGCTCGGGGGAGAAAAGCTGGTCCATCAATTGTCTTATCATCATCAGCAAAAAGCGATAGTTTTAGTCGACAATTTTGACTTACCAATTCGTAAGGCTCTTTTTGCTCAACATCTTGACGAAGAAAGTTTTACGAGGATTGTGGAGAATGTGTGTCGATTTGTCAAGTTGCTTGTAAAAAGCGAGGATGTTTTCCGGACCATAGTGACGGGCAGTCTCAGAATCGACATCACAGATGGATTGATGCACCTTCCCGTCTTCGAGGATGAATTTTTGCATCAGTGAGTTTACAATTCTATCAAAAACATTATTTTATGCTGGAAGTAATTTCGAAGTTTTTATTCGTCGGTATTCTTCAAGGAAAATACATGATTAGTTTTCCTTCTTTTTGGTCTAAAAAGCAGGCGTATTTCCAGTTACCTAATTTACCGACTGGCTACTAGGCAAAGTTAGCAACACACTGTGGAATTTCATGTCAAATGATTGAGCAGGATTATAGTCACAAAAGTTTCAATTATATTTTCGGTACTGTTATAGGATTCATAGGCTGTGCTAGACCTTCATGTTTGAAGATGCCACAGTTGTTCTACCTAAAGNAATTTTCAATTTTTTCCTTGCCAGAAATTCAAATTTGATGCGGGAAATCAATTTCGTTGAAGGCAACATAACTGCAAACCTAATAATAGGTTTCCGGTCTTCTAAGTTTGGAACCTTGTAAAAATCTATCATAGAACTGCTGTCTAATTCATAAACGGCTCAACTCAAATACCTACGGAAGACTAATTTCAGAATAAATGACTCTTCGTTGTAGAAATGAAATTTAAAAATGAATGAAAATTGTCTTAAATCGGACACTAAACCGTGATATTATGATTTTTTTAGAAATGCTTTTGTATTTCTACAGTAACGCTTCTCTCAGAAAACAATGTGTAGCATAAATCTCCGTTTGGAATAATAATCTCACGGTAAAAAACGGTATACAATTTTTGTTAAAGACGCGATCAGCAAGAATTCTGATGAGGATAGTGTGTATAAATTTCCAGTATGGTGCTAATTGCCAGTTGCCAGTGTGTGTATAATTTTCAGTGTGAGTGTTACACATGTTCATAAAATTTCCAAGGCCGCAAACTGAGAGAGACATTTTTGCCCCGTCCGCGGACGAGCCACACTCGTTCCCCAGTCTGCAAACTGGCGAATGTTGAGTGCACGCACTGGCCAGTCGAAAGTCTAAAAATTATGCCAAAGGGACCATTCGTCCATTCTGAATGCAATCTATACGCTAACCTACGAATGCCTTAAAACACTGAGCTGACAATGAGTTAATTGCGGGCGCCTTGATGCAAGTATTCGTGTTCCTCGAATATGCATGTTGCCGATTCGAAAATTGAAGGCGCTCCCACGTTTCTCACTTCTTTAGCAATGCACGGGACTTGTCAATTGTAGCAACCGAATGAGAGCGTACCTACATAGGGACATTATTGCCAGTTGGTGGCATGAGGCCAAAGCCAGACTAGTATACATACGACCTAAAGCCAATAATTCGGTTAGTATATCTCGACCTACGAATATTACTCCGACTTGCTTGTTAAGAAATTTATGAGTATACCGTAAAAGTGCGCGGTTGAATTGATTGAAGCGAACCTGCAATCTAGCATATTTGTATAATATACAAGCTTTCAAAATTTCTAAGATCATCACGTGTAGTATTCTCACCGTTCCATCAAAAGTTATATTTTTCCGTGTTGGTTCATAAAATTGTCTCGGAGCACTACAAAACTTTTTATTCTTTTTTCCCCCAGGTATTACGGCCTGACAGAAGATGATGTATATGAGCTTGCTCGGCGTTTCAACAAAGAAAAACACATTGCCGAGGTCAGAACTTGGTACGGTGGTTACAGATCAGAGCGTAAGGGTCATAATATCTACAACACACGCTCAACGTTGAGCTACTTTGAAACGGGTCAACTTAAACCGTACCGAAATGAGTCCATACATTTTAAAACTATGAAAAACCTCTTAAAGTTTGAGAGGTTGGGCCGTGAAATAGAGGATGCCTTCGATAATAAGACACGACTCCTCATCCGGCAAAAGATCCCGCTGAGGGCTCTTGAGCAACTCCGACGATCGATTTTTGAACTCAATCAAACTTCATCCGTTGTTCATCGGGATTTGATCCTGCAAATCCTCCTCGACCATGGCTTTTACACCGTTTTTGACGGAAACAGACTCAGTGTGCCGAACTTCGAGACCAAGTTGGACATCAATAATCTGATCTTCGACCGAGCATACTACATCACTAAACTAAACATAACTGACCAAACCATCGATGACTTTGTTCGGAGCATCGAGCGAATCACTGGCGAGGAGGCGTCTCTCCACAACTTCTCCGTCGCGGTCACGGAACTCTTTAAGTACCGCCTGCCGCGAGGAACTCGGGAACTAGCGCACACCTTGCTCACTCTAGCGGCAGACGATAGCAAGTTCAGCGTACAGAGTGGTCGGGAAACGCTGGAAAGCGACCGGCAAGACGTCCTCGTGAAGCGATCCACGGAAATGGGAATCGTCATCGGGATCCTGACTGGGTCGGTTACCGATGATGCGCTGAAACCTGTTTTCAACAGGTGTTTACAAGTGTTCCCAGAGTGTAAATCGAGGGTTGCGATCTTGTTGGGATTAAAATCGCGAGGGTCGCTTGGGGATCTTGAAGTTTTGTACGCGTTTGACAATCGCACTCGTATAGACACTGGACAACAATGAGTGAGAGCCGGCAGCCGGGATCGTGATTGGGATAACAACGGATCCATTCGTCATTCATTGGGCTGACGAATGGAGATGTTGCATGTGTGAGGAATTTGCGATTTGGCTGTTGATTCTTGTGTAAAAGTTCGCGAGAAACACGATGGTGCCACTGGTTTTCTCTAAAATCAACTCCCAAGCTCAAAAAAGCTCTCAAGTTGAGGCCAAAATGGAGGGGATATCCCACGCTACACTGGGAAAAAAAAAACACATTGGATCAAGAGTCCAGACTCTTGAAAACATTGACAAGAAAAAGGAGAGTCCAGACTCTTGAAAACATTGACAAGAAAAAGGACTCTTGATTCAATCAGATTTAAGCTTAAATCAAAAAGAAATCCGCTCAAATTAAGAGGCTTGGTTCTTGATTTAAGCTTAAATCTGATTGAATCATGAGTATTTTTTCTTGTCGATGTTTTTAAGAGTCTGGACTCTAGATCCAATGTGTTTTTTTTTTTTTCCAGTGTATCCTGAGAGTCCACCTCTACATCAAGACAAACTCTCCATGCAAAGATAGGGAGCTAATACATTAGCAGGGTCGCCGTGTTTTCAGTTTTGGAGTCCCCAAATAAAGTGGCAGCCCTGTCAATGTATTTGCTCCCTATCTTTGCATGGAGAGTTCGTCTTGATATAGAGGTGGACTCACAGGATAGCGTGGGATATCTCCTCCATTTTGGTTTCAACTTGAGAGCTTTTTTTGAGCTTGGGAGTAGATTTCAGAGAGAACCAGTGGCACAATCGTGTTTCTCGCGAACTTTTACATGAGAATCAGTAGTCAAATCGCAAATTCCTCACACATGCCACATCTCCATTGCCGAGACCTGTTTGTATCCGAAGTATCCAGTTGTTCCAAGACTGCAAGGCGAAGATTGCCATTCTGTTGGGATTACAGCAAGATCGGGGATCCCAAAGTTCTATATGCGCTCGAGAATCGGACCATTAAGGACATGAGATAGAACCATCAGAAGGTACGTTGATAAGAAGAAAGTTAATCGACCGAGACACCACATCATGGCTGCATTTAACGACCACTTCCGGGTAGAGAAGAATCACCCAACTTACGCGCACGGATAAGTAATTTGATTTGAGTTGATTGTAGGCACAAAAGACAGTAACTTGCCCTTATTTTCTCCTCATCGTATTGATATTGTATCTATCACTGGCGTGGAATATTCCGACCATTTTTTGCGGTGTTGGATTGTTCTGGTATTTAAATTGGCCTTAAACCATGCTGATGATGAAAGACAATTTTGAACCTTGGTTGAAGAGGTTTTGATAATTATTGTTGCCATTACTTGGAAAAAATACTCCAAAAATGTATTTTTTCGGTTCCAATGCAATGGGCGCTGGAATGCTGAAACGCGAGCCTAAAACCAAAAAATTAATCCATGGGACAGTAAGGCTATATGAAAGCTAGTCATTTTCCGAAATATTTGATGTCGCGTGAGGTCGTGGCGTATTAAAGTCTGGTGAAAACTCGCACTCGCCAAAAACCAGGCTCACTAATGTTACGGTTGACTTGCAATTCCTCGTCGTCATCTATTGGAAGTTTGTCCTGGATGTCCGATCGTGCCAACCTCAACTGAAATGGACCACGAGTCAGTTTTTTCAGCCCTGGAAAACTGAATTGCGGAAAATCATTTATCTGTCAATAGTCGAGGCGGGTCCACTGGGCATTTTAAGAGCACGATCTTTCAGCTTCTGCACGAGCTTGCACAACATTTACTTCTTGTGCTTCTAAGAAAAGCTCCTGAGCCAATTTAGGATTTGCCTCTTTCACGATGATTTTCTCGTGATTACTTGTTTATAATCGCACCGGGTATTTTGTATAATTCACCCAAATGGACCGAATGCTGTATCGGTATAATTTTAACCAAAAACTTGAAAAGGGACTATATATGTCCATTCCGGACCTCTACAATCCACCGGGTCTTCGTGACGAGTCGAGATTTTTTGGCATCGTCTGTGGAAAATTGCCTCTCTTCCTGCCCGAAAAGATTTGGCATTCAAAACTCAAATCCGCACTGCTCAAGAAATGGAATTACATCGCGGTGGCTACGATCTACGATAAATACATCGCGGTGGCCACGATCTACGATAAATACATCGCGATGGCCACGATCTACGATAAATACATCGCGATGGCCATACGATCTACGATGAATATATCACCGTCTGCAACCCATTCCAACATCTCTTGGCCCGGTTCTAATTCGCGATTTAATATTGCAGCATTGTTATTCCGGCTATCAGCAAAGTGAGGCTCTAGAATAGATGGGATGGACCGATCTGTGCCGACTATGAGAGTCGACTTGATCAGATGCCTTTTCTCATGATGAGAAAACGTTTGACGCGAAAATAGAAAGTTTGAGCTTTTATCGATATAAGTATAAGTTCCATCGACATAAACAATCGCTCTCAGGGTTTCCGCGGTTGGATTATAAAGCTTGGACTATGAGAGTCGGCTTGATCAGATGCCTTTTCTCATGATGAGAAAACGTTGGACGTGAAACTAGAAAGTTTGAGCTTTTATCGATATAAGTATAAGTACCCATCGACATAAACAATCGCTCTCCGGGCTTCCGGGGTTGGATTATAAAGCTTGGACTATGAGAGTCGGCTTGATCAGATGCTTTTTTTATGACGAGAAAACGTTTGACGTGAAACTAGAAAGTTTGAACTTTTATCGATATAAGTATAGATTCCATCGACATAACTAATCGCTCTCCGGGTTTCCGGGGTTGAATTATAAAGCTTGGTGTGGAAATCCGATACATGCTCCTGAATATAAGTTTAGCGTTGAATAGCTCCAAATCCTATATTCTCTTGGAGAAATATAAAAATGAGCGACTTTCTCACGATATTTATGTATGAACAGACATTCTGTCTCGATGATTAGTCAAAAATACTTTCAGTAAATCATCAGGCAAGCCCTATCTTGATTTACATGAAAACAGAAGAATATCTTTCTGCCAAATAGGGTCAAGAAGCGAAAAAATTTCTTCAAACCGTTGTTTGCTGACAGACATTAGCACAGTAAAGTTCTTGGTTGACATACTTTCATAGTCTTCCAGATAAGACACTACTGAGTTTGTCGCAGCGTTTTGGAGACCTTGTAAGAAAGATGAAAACTCCTCTCCCGGTATGACGAAGGGACGATAGACATTCTTTAATTCTGTCGCAAATTGTGACATTATCAAATCAGCCTCATCCAGGTAGGCTTGGCATTATCTGTATCCGGGGGGGGGGGGGGGGGGTGAAAATATTTAGAGCTACAAATATATTGACTCTGTGTAATAACTCAATGCGTGTATTATACATATACTCCTTAAGTTCCTCAAATCAAACCGTGTTTCAAAGGTGAACTGTTGTTTGTTTGCACTGTACATATAATAACATGAATGAGATTCGATTCCTTAAAGGGGTGGGTGCAAAATCGACAAAATTTCCCCCTCATGGATGTTGACCAAATTTCAGTATGTCATTCCTCACTATGGGATACGCCTTTTCCCAAAATTTCACGGCCTGAAACGAATTTCTCTCCGCGTAGCAGCGTTGCCAAGTTGAAAACCGTCGAGTTCCATATCTTTTGAACGAAAAGAGATATTGAGATGCGGTTTGCGCTAAAATTCTCCAAAAATTGCGTTCTTTCGANCGAATCAATTTTCAAGTTAAGGGAGTTGCCTGTGACTAAGAGTGTCGGCCACCCGTTTGTTATCGGGACTTTAGTAGGACGTCATTTTCCTCGACCGGGGGTGGCTACCGCCACTCTTGACTACAGGAAAACTGTGCCGCTCTTTGATTGGTCAACGAGTTTTTAGGCTTCATGATGCTCTTACGGCCGTAAATAAACAAACAAGATGGCGGCTCACCGTGGCATTGATAGGAAGCTAAAGAAAAAAATGTCAATTACACGGCAGTAACAATTTAAATTAGCATATCTACGAATAACACATGAAAAAAACACGAACACACTGTTAAATCGCCTTTCGCCTTTATCACAGGAGGATGTAAGCTGTGCATAACCTCCAACTTGCTTGCTGATAGCAGCCATCTTGTTTGTTTATTTACGGTCGTAAGAACATCGTGTCAGCCTATCTTCACGCGACCAATGAAATTCCGGCACAGAAATGGCCATACTCTGTCTATAAAGGTGCTCTAGTCGACCATACAATTAAATGCTTTTCAGGGCTCGTCCCGATGTGCAGTTATGCCCTTTTGTCAGCCGGGTGACGAATTAATCGTCTGAAAACCGCGAAGCGAACCATTGCAAAGCCGACAGGGCGGTTTTCAACGCCTCTGACGGCCGATAAGAATCAGAACAGGTGGGTTGTGGGTTCATCACGCAACCGCTCTGCCCTATAACTTTCGCCTAACTCCGAAATTCTCAGGGAGAAAATGAGGGTATATTTTAGCACGTTCGACTGGAGTAGTTTCCAACTAGTTGCGTTGCACTAGTCAGTGGTCACCTACAAGACCGTGGTTTTTTTAAATACGCGCACTAGGCGAGCGTAAGTTGAGCGCGTTTTTATGTGTCCATTGTACGAGGTATGATCCATAAGAAACCGAACTATGGCCATTGTGAGCCAACGGATGATCGGATCGACGTTTTTTGGGGTTTATCTGATTGCTGATAAACTGACGAACACGTTGGTTTTTACGGATTTCAATTATCTTCACTAATTCGGATTTTACAGCCGTTTGATTCAGGTGTGCTCAAGTGGGTGTTGTGATTTTGAGAAATGCGTGAGCTTTTAGAACAACGGTGTAACATAAAATTTTGTTCTAAGTTGGGTAAAATGTTTTCCGAAACTTTTGCACTGTTAACGAGAGTTTATGGCATTTGAGCGGTCCAGCAGCTGTTGGCAGTTGAAATCGCGCTTTTTTTTTGCGCTCGGGTTAACAACTTGGGAATCCACTTCGCAGAAACTCTACGCATGTTCAAATTTTGGGTTAAAATTCTCTGAACGGACCCAAAAGAAATATTCAGTCCCTCTGAAAGCTCACGAATGGTTAAACGGCCGTCGGTTTGCACTTTTTCGCGAACTTGGTTCACGTGAATCTCGTCAGTTGACGTCCTGGGCTTGACTCCATGAACTTCATCTTCCACCGATTCCTGACCGTTTTTAAATCTCTTAAACCATTCGTAACACTGAGTCCGACTTAAACACTTATCACCATAAACTCTCGTTAACAGTGCAAAAGTTTCGGAAAAGTTCTACCCAACTTAGAACAAAATTTAATGTTACACCGTTGTTCTAAAAGCTCACGCATTTCTCAAAATCGCAACACGCACTTGAACACGCCTAAATCAAACGGCTGTAAAATCCGAACTAGTTAAGATAATTGAAATCCGTAAAAACCAACGTGTTTGTCAGTTTATCAGCAATCAGATAAACCCAAGAAAACGTCGATTTAATCATCCGTTGGCCTACAATGGCCAAAGTTCGGTTTCTAATGGATTATACATCGTATTCTACGCGTAATTTTCCTTTGAAAAGTTAACTCGCGGGTCAAAATTCATTCGTGATTTAGTGATCCGATAGGAGAAGAAATAAGAGACTCGATGAGTCTGTTTCAGGTATTTTGACACACTGAAATCGAACCGAGGGGACATTGATCAATGCATGCGGTAAAATATGCAAGAAAGATTCACATACCTTGCGTCGGGGTTGCAGGTTGCAGCTCACAGCGCAGGTTTCTGAAAATAGAAAATAGTAAACCTGATTATTGAAGATGAAATACTATCCTGATGGGTGGACAAGTAAAACATTTTGATCCAAACTCGTGATTGGCTACAGAGTTTTTAGCACATGGTCAGCATTGACCTCAAAACTGATCCCTGATTTTCGAGTGATGCCACATCACATACCAACTCTGGTAACCCCGAATAAGAGCGCGCTTGATTTCCAAATTTAAGGTGATTCGATGGACGCCATGTTTTGTGTCAGAACAACATGCGATATATCGCAACAATTGTTCCATTTTTTCAGCTACGTGTAATTTTTCTCAAATTTTGAGATCGCAATTCTGTTGTCAAGAGATCAAAGAATTCACTTACCGATTTTTACAAACAAATTCA